AATAAATGAGATTTTTTCGCGCGTCATAACTCGCGCCCGATAGATTACGTTTGCAAAACATGTCGCTAACTTTCGTCATGCTTCTACTTCATGAATAAAAATAACCGTATAAGTTCGATATTCTACGACAATTAACGGAAACTTCGTAAGGAAATTAACAAACAAAGAAAAAAGGAAATAATGTACAAAGCATGATGAAAGCGCGATGGAACAACAGAAACTGTTCGTTCGTTGAAATCGTTAGAAAGAAGTCGTAGTTTTATGAAAAATCATTTGAAATTTACAAAAACAGGACGACATATATCACACGATATAGTCCGGCTATTACTGGGATTACTTCTTAATTAATTGGAGCCGCTCCAGAAGATAATGGGAAAAATTCGATGAGCCAATTTTTGCAAGAGTAAGTAAAAAACAACTCAGTGCGCTAGGCGTTGCAGCAACTTACCCCGACTTCGGATAACTTGGCGAATTCACAGACGAATTTTCCAGCGGGTAACTCGGGCAAAATTTTTTAACTTTTTTAATTTTTTAATGTTAAGTACCCCAAACTGTATTACTGCCGGGCGAAAAATCTACATATTTATTTATATCTTAAACGCATATTTTTAATTAGATAGAGAAGACATACGGATTTTGCGCTACTCGTTTGTCAAATTTAATATAATCTAAGAGTCGTCGATTTCTTTGTTCAGAAAAATACAATATTATTTTTTCACAATCCGCCGATATTCATATAAAGGAACGTAAACTTGAGCGCGCAAATTGATTTTCAAGCATCACGACGGAATGTACACAAAAGAAAAATTCAGTCGATCCAACAGCGAAACTCCATGGACGATCGCGTCGATCGAGGAAAACGAAATGATGGAAGACCCCTTCGGTGCGACGAGACAACGTCCGTACGTCGCGAAGAAATGTCTGGAAGGGGGAGGGGGGGGGCGGTGCGCGCTTAGTTATAAAGTTTTTACGAGTATCGTAAGATCGTATAAAAGTTGGAAAGTATTTCGAGGGTCTATACCCGCTTTTCACCGCTTGACTTCTTTCCCCCACCCTATGCGGTCATGATCGATCACCTTTCGATCACTGTTAACTTAAGGAATTTAAAGACTCGGCCGTCTTGCGATATTAAACAAATCGGGTCGCCGAATCACCGTTGGAAATTAAAGTCGTATCGGCGCGACGCTCGATTCAATAGAGACGCGAATCGTGATCGTAACGCTTCCATTTCTGGAATTAAAAGGTCACCACGAACATCGAAATGTTCACCGAACGCAAACAGTTCGAAACGTACGAAGAAATCATCTGGAGCGGATGATTAGGACGCAGCTTTACGAAGAACGTTCCACATAACGGGACTTTTCTCTTAAATGCTGCCTTTATTCCGAGGAAAAGCGTCGAAAAGACGCTGATTTGGAAGCATGTTTGATATTCGTTTCGAGAAAGCATAATCTCTCATGTAGTTCTTCATTCGCTGTGCTTTGTCTATACGCTGATATCTTAACGCAAAGTAAAGACGTCTATATTATATTTTCATAGATTCATTAGCAAGATTTCTCTCTCAGATTCATCGCGTATTCTATGGTCGCGCGAGTAACAGAGAAATTTCTCGCTGTGAATTTCGATCAAGCTCATATAAATTCTGGAATACTGGCGGTGCCAGCTTGTTAAATAAGTTCTAAAAAGTAGAAAAGCGGGACTGCGCCGCTTTCATTCATCTGATACGGAGTCGATCGGCGAGAGCCCGCCGAGTAAAAGGTTTTGCAACGCGTATTTTCAATATCTTTTTTACTCCCTTGCCCTCTCCACCTTCTCCCTTTCTTTCTCGCTCTGGTCTTTTCATGAAACAATAAAAGCTTCCATGGCCGACGTTCTTGGCGGGGATGGGTTTTTCATTTAGTTGAGTTTCGAAGGAAGAAAGGGATCTCATTTCAGAGCACGAGCTCTTTACGCCTTTGGCTTTTCCGGCTTCATGGCCGTAAGGTATCTAGCCGAGGATATGCATAATGCGCAAGAGGCTTCATGAGAACTCTCTACTCACACACCGGTGAACATATAAGTAATTACGTCGCAATTAAGAGTTCAAGATTATACTTCGCGAAATCAAGGGCTGTGTTTTGAAACGAACGCGGTTGCGCGCTGATGGTAACGATGTTTTGACTTTTAACGCTCGAGGGAAATGGTAACGTCTAACTTTTCATTTAAAGCTGCTCGTAATCAGTACATGCAGAATATTAAAAAAAAATATCGTATAATACTTGAACAGCGCATTCAAAGCTCAATTGAAGATAAAATTCATAATACGATAATGTCGAAAAAATATCACATTGGGAAATACCACAAATATTGTAATAAAATATTCCAATAAAAATGTATATCAGAATATATCGCAGTAGTTAATAAAAATTAGTAGTTAATAAAAATTATAAAAATTCAAAAACTCAGAATTAGCCAGTGACATTGCATACATTTTGTTCGTATTCAGCATTCGCGATTAATCGAACCGAGAAATTTCGATTTTATGTTAATACTACCAGTTCTATCAGATTCAAAGAATTTTTTTAATTTAATAGAAAATTTCGTAAAACGGTAAATAATTACTTTCTTTTGCAGCTTCGAAATTATTTAATATTTATTTCAACGTTGTGCAAACTACATTTAACTGCAAACGAAATATGTGCGAAATTTTAGTAGAAAATGCTATATATATACGAAATTATAGTAAGCAAATATTAAATAATTTATATTAAATAATTATATTAAATTATATTAAATTAAATATAACTTATATTAAGTAATTTAATAATGATTAATGTGAATAAATAGAACAAAAAACTTGAAAAAAAATGAAAAGTTATGGAAGTCAAGTTTTTCATAGTCTTTATTATTTCTGTGTGTGTTAGATAAAATTTTTAAAATAATTTTTAAAAGAAGTGAAAGGAGAGAATTTGTTAAAGGCGGACAAACATAGTTGTTATGTGTCCAGAGAGAAAAATACCAATAGGTTTAAATGTAATTTTGATACAATAACAAGAGATAAACAAAAAATGAGAAGAAAGTGTTAGCAGATTCATAATTGTAACTGCAGCCGAAAGAGCATTGTCAGAGAAACACCAATCAGTACTTGCAAAATTTAAAAGATTCTACATTTCAACTCGGGTATATGCATCGATTTCTTATTTATTTTGAGCTGCCATTAATTTCTACAATCGAGATATTTTTATTGTCTTACATTTGCTGTTTAAGTATTATGCACTTATTTACTACAGCAATTAGCTGATGTATCAATTCAATGCGAATGTTGAATTGTTAAAAATGTTCACAATATCAAGTAGCAATGTAAAACTGGCCCTACTCTTTTCGCTCAGGAATCAATTTACGATTTACGGCATGCATATTATGATACGGCACACATATGATAATAAAACGTTCATTTAACGGTGGAAAATTTCACGCTCACCATTCGACGAAATTGAAGTTCAACGACGAAACTCATCCCCAACTATGTTGCTCTGCATCCGGAAGTCGGTCGTATTCACCTTCCTCTCTGCGTAGTCCTTTTTTCTCCACTTTTCACTTCACTCGCGACGCGGTTGATACTCAAACAGCAGTTAACGAATATTTTGAATATCTCGATACGTACAAATTCGATTTACAAAAGACAAAATCGAAAGTCGGCGAGTCTAGTTGATAAATATCTATCGTCAATGTGTCTGGAAAACACGTTCGCGAATCGCGTGTAAAAAAATCGCGAATTGAAAACCGATCGCGCCGTTCACGAAATTTACCAACGTCGAACCGTATGCGAACGAAGTGGTCGAGACTGGCGTGAATTTCACACGCATGATGGGCTCACAACATGCGCTGCGAGAATTACTCCGCAATAAGTTTGCGAAATATACACATGTGACGTTTCTCCGATTTAACAGAGGATTCTCTCCTCTCGAAGAACGTAATCGCGACGCGGCTATCAGTATTTTGCAAGCAAACATCGTGCAAAGACTATCTCAGGAAACTCAGAGCTCCAATAATTTACGCGGAATTCAACATGTACATATTTACAATCGTTAGATATTATCTCTCCTCCACTCTTCCCTACAAAATTTCGCAAAGCTAAATCACTTTTCAGTGAATTAAGATCAGCCAACGACCATCGTTGTTAGAATTTCTTTCCAATTGTACTCTGAATTACTAATTGTACGTTCAAAACAGAAAACCGGTGTTTCGCAATATCAAACCTTTCAAGTCTCCGTCGAGGATTAATTTTCGCATCAGTTCCTGTCGCGAGAATCGAACCGTTGCTAAGTAACCTGTACTCCACGGAAGAACGACCGCACGTCTGTCGGAAACGCGCAATTTTCAGTTTTCCAACGGTTTTTACCTGACGTTGTTACGACGCTTAGAAACGGAGATATCGGCGATGATGTCGCGTCGTGTTCACGAACGCGTCGTTGTCACCTGCTGCAGAATGCCGGTGTGGGTGCGAGCGTGTCTGAATTCCGTGGACGCGATTTCACCGAAATCTTATCTCAATGCTTACACAAGCGCTTGCCCTGAGCGAGGCCTTGCCCCCACTGTCGCCGCGTTGTGTCAACACGGCCGCTCGGCCGCGAGGATCGCCCCGCCGCGCGGTCATTGACTTCGCCCGACGACGCCGTAGTAAACATAACGCGCCAGCATTCGCCCATAACATTTGGACGCACCGAAAATTTCAAAGGCCATCATTCGCGAACGAATCGTCGTAGACGCGTGAAATAAAAAGCAGTCTTCTTGGCGCGCGATCCCGCGTGCGTCTCTCCCATTTTTATATACGCCCGTTTCGAGGATGACCGCGGCCGAACGTCGTGACGAAAATCTAAGATCGCGTTCTCCGCTTGTCCGCGCGCGAAACGTATATTCCGCGTTTTTTCTTCGCAATCGAGCGCATATACGAGGGCGTTTTTCACCGACGACGGAATTTCAGGAAAGCTTTGAAATCAATCACACGGAGGAAAGTCAACTTCAGTAGCTGAGTTAATTGTAACGTATGAATATCGAAAAACTTTAATAGCATAAGCAATTTTAACTCGTCGTAAAGGATAGATACGATAGTACGTTTGCTCCTGCGGCAAAAAATTTGGTCCTGCAGCTATTAAAATTGCTCACGCTGCTTTTAGGTGCCTATACGTTACTAATTTAGCTATTGCAGCTGAGCTTTCTTTTCCGTGTATAAACGAGCCCGGGAAATGTGAAAATCGGAGGAAGATAAACGTGTTTTTAAATCACTTATAAATTGTTGACACTCTGACCCGCGATATATGGATGATAAATCACGGGACTATAAAATAAATAAATAAATGTCCCGGAAAAAGTTCGCAAATCAATGTTAATTTCTTGTATTGTTTTCGCGAGCTATTTTCGTGAGTTCCGTCAGCGGGCTAGACGTAATAATTCGGAAGTAAAATATGGCCGAAGTTCGCGATGAGAAATGGACACGTTTGAATTACTGTTCGAGTAAAATAATGATTAGACGCGTGAAATGATTACATTAAACTGCTTCGCGATACTTTATCGAAACTTACAACCGCGTCATTGAATTTGATTTAACAAAGTTCATCCCCGCCTGTGAAATATAATCATAACGTGAATGCGCGCACGAGGAATTTAGAATATTAATGACGGTGACGAACGCAAAATCAATCAACGGCGAGCGAAGTAACCGCGAGTTTCGCTCGCAGTGGCGCAATTCTGACGCCGCATTATGCACCGCACGAAACGGTTAGAGGATCGTAGCGAATGAATAATAATCCTGTTTAAATAATTCTGCAGTTTGGAGCAATTATAAATATAAACAGCTGAAATATCGCATTTGCGTAACTGTGTATACCAAAGGGGATCAGTGCACTATTGAAATTAAATATTCAATATTCTCAGAAACATTTCTGTCAGATGACAGTCGAAAACATGATTCTCTAATTATTTCGAGTGGCGCATTTTACTTAATTAAAATATAAAAATTGGCATGTGAAAGTACGAGAAAATGAAATCGCATCGAGTTCGGCGAGAGTTTTCATTCAGACCCACCATCGACAAATCCATCGCCTGAAATCGTACTTGTGCTTTTTTCCATCTGTGATTTACCGAATTCAGGGCCGACCGTATTCAGCTACGCCGAGATCTGAAGTAGAAAAAAGAACGATTACGTCGGTCATACTCGGTGATTCAACTTGACGAATGAGTTCGCGTAAAGACGCGAGAGAAGATTAGTCTTTCGCTGTCGTAATTCGAGTTATTCTGACAACTACGCTGCGAATTTCGACGGGAGAGGGTTCGGAGGAGAAGTTTCGCGAGACTTAACCTACCTTCGGGCCGACTCCGCTCAGCCCGAGCCGGATCCTCCGGCACGGCATCCGAAATCGCAGCCACCCTCGCGATACTGCCGCAAACTTCGCTAAATCTGACGCAAAAACCCGGTTTTCCCAATTAGCTGTAGCAATAGAGAGGTTGCTCGGCTTCGGCCGAAAGCAGAGTTCGAAAGGAGAATGTTAGGTTAGGTTAGGTAGATACGAATATATCGAGAACGCTCGGCTTTGTATTTCTTCCCTCAAACTGAAATATGATCGTCATCTATCCGATGTCTCAGTATTGCGAGTACTTACGATGATCCCAGCATCGCCGTCGTCCGCCTAAAGCATCGCGATTTTCGCCGCGCGCGCTCCGAACATTCCGCTAAAACGCCGATATACGCGCGAAGTTACACGCACGACGCGACTCGCCGCATACTTCGCGACGGCGCTAATGGCCGCCGCGGAGTCGCGCCAGCTGCATCGACTGTCTCGTCTCGAAAGCCGCGCGTCCTTCGACGCATAAACAACTCGTAGCTTTGTGCGTTTACGTCGCGTTTTTTCACGACAAGCACCGAAATTGCCTCGCGACACACCGATAACGTATTTTAGCGTCAATTTATCGCTGAAAACTCTACTACGAAGATATCGATGTCGCACCAACCTTCGGATTTTGAGCTGTCCAGCTGTTCGATTGCCGTATTATGTCTTTTTAAGGAACTCCGGCGCTAAGTGCCGTATTTTCTGTGGCGCGTCAAGGGAGCCTCTCGTAACTATTTATCAACTTATCAAGCAATTTATCAAGCAAGATTTCTTTCCCACACATTTATTTCACCGACCAAATAATAAATGTCCAGTTGAAACGAAGCTAGAATAAATATGTGTATATAATATTATACATACGGAAATATTATATTTGACTTTTCTTATTAATGTTATATTTATACATCTGTTCAGATCTAATGGAAATGTACGGATAATAGAGAGAAGTATATAAATGTTTAAATATATGCTTACATATATGTATCTTGATTATTACTATAAATTATACATTTTCCACCACTATATTATTTAAATGAAACGGTCATTAATTCTGAAATTTGCATATAATATTTGTATACTAGTTTTTAATATTAAGATAGCTTTTTAAATTTCTATCTTATACACAAATATGTCAAATTAGAGGATTGAAATTTCTCTTACGCATTGTTAATTCGATTAACTTTTGTATTACGTATATGTTATAGGTTTATTTTATATTTGGTCATTATTACTTTGTATCTACACACATATATATATATAGCTTTAAAGTTTCGGAAAAAAATTATTTTCTCTGAATTTTTACGTGAATTTTTTCGTTTTTTATATATCTTCTTTACGGAGAAAAGTAAATGTGGCAGGTTTTAACCGAATGTAAATTTTTCTAAACGAATCTTTGCACCTTCGGGACAGAAACCAAAGGAATCTGCGGAAAAATGGGAGAAAAACAAGTTCTCCCGGCACTTTAAAATTGTACACACGTGACCGATACATATTATTATCGCCGATACTACGCTGATCGCTATATTCCGTGCTGATTTATTGACAATTATTTACCTTTGATAATAACGCCGCTGATATGTGTGAATATTTTATATGTTATTTTATTACAATGTAAAGATCGTTTTACACACATACAAGCATTCCGCGTAATGCGTTTGACATTTCGCGTCATTAACAGCGCGGTGTGCTTTTGTATTTTCCGCTGTTAACGCGCGGCCGCACATGACGTGGTTTAAAATTTCCGCATTTTCACTGGTAACGCTGTCGCGCTTACAACGAGTTTGATATGGCTTATTTTCGCGAAATATTTTAAATAACCGGCTGATAATGTGTGCTCTCTCTAATATTCAACGCAGAGCCGACGCAACGATACCGCGATGTAACAAATGTATCGCGCGCCTCCACCCGCTGTGTTATTACCGCTCTTATTAGCTGATTAACGCAGCCTGTTCAATCTGTCGGTCGTTCCAAGTACGATTGATTATGGAATATTCGGTGCGTGTGCGGCTCGCCACGTACGCTTATCGCCCTTCCTATCTCTCTCTGCACGCTACTGCCGCAATTTACAAATTTACGAGGGACGAAGAGAGGGAGTAGAGCGGTAGAAAGACGCGAGTACCACAGTGATGTGCGATTTCGAATCTGCCTGAGCTCCCTCTCTCTCTCTCTCTCTCTCTCTCTCGCACGAGCTCTATTATTCTCGCGATAATTTAAGACGCGAACCTGATATATATGTAGCGAGTTTACACGACGCCATTGTCTCGGGCTGCCGTTATTTATGGGAAGGTCTCGCCTTCCCAAAAACGGAAGGCGCGCGGAGGCCCCGTGATGCGAATAACAATCGCGCTCCCCCGCTCGCGAGAGCGGTAATTAAGGATTAGCGAGGTGATTAGCGAACGCCGCCGGTATTTAAATCTCGCCGGAGCGATCTGCGAGCGCGCCGCTGCAGCGTCGCGGGTTCGGGCCAAACAACTGATTATACGCGGGCCAACGTTGAAAGTTCGCGAAGCAGACGTTCCAATTACTAGTTCTAATTACGCACCGCTCTTCTCTAATACGTCGGCCAACTTGAAAACTGCGCGCCGCACAGTGATTAGTGATAAAGAGGCGCGCGAGTGGGTCTCCGCGAGTGAAAAACTTTCGCTTCGTTGAAACGGAGATATTCCGTCGGAGGCGATGAGGAGGACGGGCTCGCATGCCCGCCTAATGACGCCAATTATAATGCGGTAATTAAAAGAGGCCGCGCGAAAGAACGACACGGAAGATTGCACGCGCATCGTAACAGCGATACGTTGATTCTTTTTTATTTAATTCTCCATTCCTTCCCGCCGCGCGTTACGTCAATCTCATGCTTATTGCGGCAATCAATACGCGTATTCGCCGACCGTTATGTCCGACCGCGAGGAAGTCGTTCAGATACTTTTGTCGAAGCACGTTTTACGGCTGCAACGAGGAAATGACGCACGATCGTACGATTTAACAGTTACGGTTACACCGGCTCTATAGATAACACTACTGACACACATCACCGCGGCGCAATGTTGAACGATCGATCATGCGCGCGAACGTGTGTAAAAAACGACGTGTGATTTGACATATATTTGATTATACGAAAAGAAAATTGCTTTTATTGGTTACCGCGGCCGGGTATTCGGAAAATACCCTTTCATTAAAAAAAAAAAATCAAATTGTGAGCCGGCTCTGTTAATGTCCAATCTAAAATCGGTATTTCAAATGCTTGTAAATTCCCATGCACAGGTGTTGTGGCGCAATCAAGATACTCTCTAATCAATTTATTAATATGTATAATTACGTTTTCAATGCAACCAAACGTTTCGGCCCACGCATTTGACCCTCTTCAGTGGCAAATTTAAATCACAGTATATACAAAACGCATGCACACACGCGAGCAGAAAATTGTTGTTGAATAATGTGGCATACTAATAGCATAATTCATTAGACTTGTGTCGCGTGACTAGGATATACACATAGTAGAGCTAAAATGTATACGGAGTGTCCCAAACTAATCCCGGTTCCCGTGGTGTGCAAGTAGAACTGCACATGAAACCGAGTAGAAAAGTCAGGTGCCATTTTGCAAAATTTTACAATAATGAGGGATTCATTATTCTCTCTGAGCTAATGATCGCACTGGAAGCGGTAAGTCGGATTCTATATAAAAAATTGATAAAATGATTAATTTCTCATTAATTATTGCGAACTTTGCAAAATGGTACGTGACTTTTCTACTCAGTTTCACCCGTTCTACCTGTACATCGCGAGAACCGGGATTAGTTTGGGACATCCTGTATGTGGCAACAATAAACGAACAGTTTGATCGGATACATTTTTAGCCTGATTGTATATAAATTTACTAGCATATACATGAAAATATCAGGAAAGTAAAAGATGCCTCTACTTATACATATATTTTCGGCGCTGAAGCGTGGATTGATGGAAATTTCATTGTATAACATATAGTACTGTTGCGTAGGCGCGTCTATGGGAACAAAAGAAAGACGGGGTATTTCCGTCGTTGTGTTTGTGATATAAACTGCATCTGTACAGCGACATTCAGTTATAATTGTGCCGTTCGCGTTGTTTTCCAAAGTTTCCCATACTTCTTTGAAATTGTTTTGAAGTTGTTTTGACGTACATCCCAGCCGGACAAGTTACTATGGTACTTTGTCGGTTCATGAATATGAATATTTTCGAGAAAAATTTTCTGCGTGCATACACACGTAAGTCAACATACAAAAGCGTTTAAGTTGGCACTTAACAGTATTGCCAAATGTACGTGTGATAAACTGAAAACAGATGTACTATTCTATAAGAATTATTCATTCTTCAGCCTGAGTATAAGTGAAAAATTAATTAGTAAACCGTCTATATTGATATCCAATCAAAACTCAGTATTTTAAGGCATATTATAGAACCTGTATACGACGTAATATTGCAATAGAGATACTGGTCAATTTACTAATATGTATAATTATATTTTTAACACAGCCAAATGTCTCGTTCCACGCAACCTTCATTTCAATTTCGAGGTTTGCAAAAGCCACGGTGTAAAGGCAACGGCTGTGCCTCGGCGAATCGTCTCCGTCCCTCTCGCGCCCCCTTACCGCCGTTTGATCTCCAATTTCCCGATTAATTGTTTTTTCGGATAAATTATCATTTAATTACTTTATCAGCACAATGACTACCGGCGGTTCGCGTCATAAATAATTAATTAGAGGCGAGCCCGTCGAAAAACGGTTTAATTAATGACCGAACTTTCCGCGGTTAGTCCGCTGTTGCGAGTCCGTGGCACGTCCGCCGCGAACACGTACGACCCCGTGAACTCGCGCGCGCGCCTCACGAAACGCACAGGATCGCCCCCGGGCTGGATTTTTCTTCGTTTAAGCCGGAGGAGCAGTGACGGACTGCCGGGATTTCTCCTCGACGTCACTGATAAGAACCGGGAAATTTGCCGCGGTGTCGCAACACGCGCCAGCAAGAGCCTTTGTGTACGCCATCGCTTTTCGGTCATGGCGTCTGACATGCCCCACTAACATGTTTGATACTTTGTACCGCTAAATGCCCGCAGCGCGGATTTCGCATGCATATTAATTAAGATATAACGGACCACCCGGTAAATCGCGAGATTATCTCGCATATTTCCCAGCGAAATGGTTGTCTTAAGCTGCACGAATAAATCGGCCGTTCGTTGGCTGAACGCGCGTCCTCGCGTCAACGACGATTCTCCCGATCGACGGGCCTTTCGTTCCTTTTTATCGTCCTCTCCCTCCGCTCCCCCGGCTTTCCCAGTTGGATAATCGACCTGGCTTTGTGGGGGAAGCGGTTGCCCAAGTTTACGATGAATAATGCGCGACAGCGGGTCACGTAAAGCGCATCGAGGTGGTAATAAGTTCCGAAACTCGATCTAAGCAAATGCGCAAATGGATGCTTAAAAGTCGACGACCGTGATGTTATTTTTCGCGATCCTTTCCGACGTTTTCTGGCACTACGCCACCACCGTTCATCCCGTTGTAATCCTCGGAACGTCGACGGCGGCGTTGACGCCGCCGTTGCCGGGATTACACGAAAAGTTCGAGCACTTGTTCGTTTAAGTTATTATAAGATAAGCATCTTTCTCGCGCAACTCTTGCTTTTTTCGCCGNGGGGGGGGGGGGGGGAGGAAAAAAGGAACCGGCGGGCTTCTGTTTCAGCGAGATCTTTTTGCCTCGCAAATATAATTCCCCCGAGAGTTCGAATCTGCCCGGGACTGTTACCGTCCCGTTTATAAACCGTGGTTTCCAGTCGAGGTGCCATTTTTTCCTCTCATTGTATTGTCACGCAAGATGAGCGGAATAGTTAATTAATTAACATGTACAGTGCGTCTTTCGCGTCACTGGTGATCGTCGACATGAAATATGAGAAAAAAACCGGTTTTTGTCCAGAGATTCCGGTGACAGATTACGGTAGAATGTTGTATCAGAAACTCACGCGTGTGTCATTGACTTATTGAAGCAGAACTAAAATCGGGGAGATTAAGGGGATTAAAATTCCCGTACAACGTTCGGCTGTACGCGGGGCAATCGTTTCTAGATTAATTAATAAAAAACGTAACTGTACTCCGCCGGCGGATACAAAGGAACATTGTCGTCTGTCCACGTTATTACAAATTCAGTTAGCTTTTTATTCATCGCTTTTTCGCTCAGTCAGCTTTTTCTCGTGGCACGCGACGAAAGACACATCCGACGATGAATGTCACCGGCTCGACGATCGGAATTCTAAAGGACGATTCTTTAGTTCTCAGCGCGATACGGAATGTAATATAGTCGTGCCGAGAATCGCGACTATTTCGCGAATAAAGCGAAGCAAAATATTTCGCTTACGCTCCCGTAAAAGTATCCATAATCGAATTTTAATATGAATGCACCGTCCGATTCGCGTTGTAACTCCGATTAGACTCTTCACGAATAAAGGAGGTCGAATGCACGACGAGATGTTAATAATCTTGCTCGTGTTCCGATCGAATTTTATTTAGCGAAAATTTTGCTCTAAAACGTAATTACATAAAACGACGTTTAATGCGAAAGATTAAAAACTCGATTCGTGTTTATCAAAGCAATTGTTAACGGAATTTTCACCGTTTACAGCTCGTGCATATTGAATGCTTAAAAGCCGCCCCATATGCTTTCATCAAACTTATCAAGCTTTCATAAAGCTGATAAAGCTTAAAACTTATGCGATATAATCGCACGAATTTGTATTTTGTCCTTTCCACTTTTGCAAAATGCACTCCCTGCGAATAACGTCCATCGAGCGTTTGCGTTAAATGTCAGGGATAATTGCGCGAAATATAATTTCCGGATAGATTTTGAATTTCACGAGAAATAAAGGTAAAGGTACGCTCGGGAGCGGTTGCGATATTTTATCCGGTCAAATGGTAGTACTTAAATCGCGCACCGACACCGACTCTTTTTTCCCTCTGTTTTCAGGCGTTCGCGGACTGAACAATGTGTCAATCCATATACCATTGGCAGTGGCAGCTGGCACGACGGTCAACATGTCCTGCACGTACGATCTACAATCGGAAACCCTTTACACCGTCAAATGGTACAAGGGCTCGGAATTTTATCGATATATCCCCAAGGAGATGCCGCCGATCGGAGTGTTCGGAGAGCTCGGGGCGAAAGTTGTGGTAAATAATACATTAATGGGACGCTCCTGTTTCGATGTCAAAAGTTAGACAGATATGGATGCCTTTTTAGTGAGCCATTTCGTCTAGAAAACAGGTAAAAGCTTTCGTTATCTACTAATGTATACCGGTATGATGTTTCATTGGTCGAAATACTTCAATATTCGCTATCGAATAACTTTATTGATATATGCATGGCTTCGAACAATTTTTAATTGGCTTTTCCAGAGCAAAAACACATTACAATTGAGGCTGACGAATCGCCGCGTCATTTTTCCCAACTTATGCGGCTACTTTCAGGTGTCCCGTAACGTTTTGACGGTTTTAAACAGCTTAAAACACGATTAAAGTTGACGGTGTTGGTCGACACGCGACGCACATAATTTTCCTTTCTTCCCGCGCTCATTCGTGACGCCACGGAGTTGAAAAAAGGGATTGTAGGATCTCATCATCTCCGCGAAATATCTCTAATTGGAATCATTAGAACCGCGCTTCTAGTTTTACCTCTCGCGTACACGCAACGGGTTATTTCGAGCCGCAAGCTCCGTTATACTGGTTCCGCACTTGTTAAAAGTTGACTTCTACTTTTCAGGGGATCAAGTTTTATATGCCAACATGACGGGCAAATGTCGGAACTCGCGTAGACACGGGCGAGACACTAGCGTTAAATGCCTTTAAGTTTGGGCCGACCTAGCGAGGTCGTTTCCTTCTAGCCGTTAAATTTTCTTTTCATCGCGTACATCTCTACGTCCTGTGATTAATTATTCCGTCGCGCCTTAATTCACAGCTATTCTCGAAATTCCTTCTCAAACGAGACATTAAGAGACACGATATTCAACGAAAGCTCAAACAATAATAAAATCGACCGGTCGCCGGGCTTACGGCTTGATTCGCGAGCGAGGTATCAGCGGGGAAGAACTTGCAACTCTGCGGGAACCTTCGGTGCCTCGGCGTTTTTTGCCGCGGGAGACTCGATTTCGAGCCGATAAAAGGAGCCGACTGCGAATTTAACGACGCAATTTTCACGGGCGGATACACATCGCGTAACTTTCGTAATTGTATTGCACCTTATCGTCGCGCATTTCGCAACTTAAAGCGGCGCTTCGACGCGCTTTAAATGGCAGAACGACAAACGCTCCGAGAGTCGATATCGGTCGAGGAATAGCCGGTTCGCGTTACGACGCGCGCGCATGGCAGATTGGACGCTGCATATGTAGACGAATATTCGAAGCGCGTATCTGGGATGCATGAAGGAAGAAATAGCCCGTTTGCACGGCGGAAATTCGAAGGTCTGTAAAAATATACAATCTCGCCAATTAAAATCGACGCTGCGCACACATCGTCCGCCCGATCGAAATCTCATTTCTTGTCGTATATCTTCCGTTCGATCGCGTACGAGCGCGCGCAGCGAGAGACAAATACTCGTCGGACTACACCCGGGCTTTGTTCATATAATAAAACGTTACCGACTTATTCGTTAATAGACGGAAAAATCGCATTTTTGCACGTCGGATATTTTTGCACGAGGGAGAGCGCTTTAGGGATAATTTCTCCCCGCGAGAGGACACCGGCGAACGACGGCTTGTCATTTGTCTTCCTGTAATACGCTTTAATGTTTCGCCGTTCGATATTTGAAATCCGTTAGCGGGACGATTTATTTCAGAAGAAGCCGTACAACATCCTCTTTCCGTGTGCTTTTCCTATTGCGACGCGCGAATATAGAATGCATTTATTTTGCAGAAAGCGAGAGAGAATGTGTATATGTGTGTGTGTGTGTGTGTGTGTGTGTGAATGCGACGCTGCGAGCGAGTATTTCTGCAGTTCGCGTTTTGCGCGTTCAGAGGGTAAAAACTGTATTTTTTCAACGTAAATGGCGTTTATATCTCGTTCCGACATCGCGCGACACTTTGTCGCGGGAATTAATTTGACAAAGTAGGCGCGGCAAATATATCGCTGGGCAACATCAAAGAAGTGTGTCGCGCGGGGTTAAACTAAATTATCATGTACTCGGAACACAACACGGGCATGCCGATTATTCATTCGGCGACAGAAATTATAACCGCCGCTCTATTTCACGCTTAATAAATACGCGTTGGCGTGTACTAGCCGCGCGAAAAACACACACTTGCGATGTGCAACGCGCGGACGATACTCGACTCGTTATTTAACGAAAAAGCGGCTGCAAATCGCGAGCGTAAGCGCAAGGAATTTTTCCCGGCCGCGGGACGACGACTTTACTCTTGAGCTTTATTGCAATTACGGCTCACCGTTACATAGCCAGGATTCTTCTCTTTGTCTAGCGATCCGCCCGGCCGGCGAGACGACGCGTTGAACTCTTCGTTTTCCCACGTCGACCTGTCGTTAAAAACGCGGATTATTGTGTACAAATGAGAACACTCACGGCCGCGCTCTCACTCAAAGTGGGCGCGATCCGCCGGATATAAAACGTCGGCGCGCTCATCGCGATTGCGCTCTCGACGTAAGAAAAAATATTAGGTGCACCGACGGGAGGTAACGGTGGTCGCGATAAATCGGACGTGATAAATTTTCATATTATTTCGCGAACGGCTCGGTTACGTGATCCGGCTACTAAACGCTTCCTTTACCCCGCTTATTAATGCAAAAGATATTATTTCCGCCAGCCCCGGCAACGCGGCGAGCCGCGCCAAAGTTCGGCGATGTAATCTGTTTTTCATCACGGCGCATTTGCGTAAAAAGCGAAGGGCTACCTTCGTCGTTTTAAACGAAACTCAATAGCTTGTCGCGGAAATCTTGCGTGAGCTCAAAGCGCCGTCGGAATTATCTCCCGGTGAGATCTCTTTATCTCTCTTCTCTTTTTTCCCTTTCCCCTTTTTTTCTACCCTTTTTTCACAGTCTCTGCTTGTTAATGCGACGTTTCAAAGGACACTTCGAATTTATCACGATGTCGCACCTTGCGTGCGATCGACTACGTGTCATCGCGTTGACCAAAAAAAAAAAAAAGAGAGAGAGCGACGAGAGGAGACGAGAATGATGCGCGCTGCGCGATATTTCGAGTTACGCACATACGCACACGCGTGCACGCGTATACCAGTGCGCGCGAGCGAAGAAAGAATAATCGTTGCAAAATCAACGTTTTTAAGTTGAGCGGAAAAAGGAGATGTACAGTTAAAACCTTTATTCGAGCTGAATTAAAACACAGCTGACGGCTTTGTTCAATTTGTGTTAAAGCGCAACCGCAGCATCTACCGGGCCCCTTGAATCATTCCAAATGCGATCTCCAAAGCGTTGACACCTTTCTCAATCTTTCAATTTGCGGAACGCAATGAAGGATGACAATGCAAATTTTACCGGTATTTTCAATTCGTGTGTAAACGCAATCATGAATCTGTTTAATGTAACAACATTTTTGAATTAGTTGGATCGTACAGCTTGGTAATAAATTAAAGCATAAAGCACAGAATATGACAACGTTGCCGAGAGACATCGTGCATAATCACACGTCTACCAATTATCAATTATTACCGAGAAAAGGAGGAGCCAACGGCTCTAATGATATTCGATTAGAAACAATTAAATAAGAGCAAATAAATCATTTATTATTCAGACTCGGTTCTCATTTGGACCTTATCGATGAAATGGCCATATTTTATTACCGTATTCATCATAAGGACGTTTTTTAGTGTCATTGCGATTTCACTAATTGACACGTGCTATTCGCGTCGACTGAAAATGTACAAAATGCATCTTCTAATTTGCTCGCTGCCCGGACAGTCGACTTCTCTCCTTTACACCGCTGATCTACGTTTATACTTGCTTCGTCTTTGCATCCTGACTCCAATCTGTTTTGTGTCTTTAATTTCATCAGAAGGGTTCAAACGAGGACCGAGATATCTGAATAATAAATCGATTAAATAAATCTACTCTGCAGTATCGTTAAGTTAAAAAAAAACAGTACACCATCACAGCTGGTGCGGAAGCTTTTATTCACCCCCGTTTAATTGTTCCTCATCGATTATTAATTATCGTACATCGCACACCCGGTCGAAATCGTTCGCCAGGACAGGATTTCTTCGGGTCTCGATGCAACATCCAAAGATGAATTCATGGGCCCGTCAAGAAGCGGCGCGAAGCACGCGCGCGATCGATTCAGGCGCGTTCGGGCGCGTCGAGCGGAAAAACAACGAGGTGGAAAGAGACGTTCCAATCCGCTACGCTGATAATCCGGCCGTGCCGCGCGCGTAGCCGCCTCGAGAAAAAGTAATCGTCACAAAATCAATGTTTTTCGGCGAGCCGAACTGGAAAAAAGGAAGGAAGGAAGGACGGACGCGGGGGAGTGAATCGAAAAAAAAAAGGGGGGAGAAAGAGAGAGATCTAGTTAAAGAGCCCTCGCGCGGCCGCCGCGATTTCCGCGCGATCCGCTCTGAGCGGCCAGCGAGAGAGGCGCTTTCGTGCACGCGATGGTTTTCCAATTAGATTTTACCGGCGGAAAGTACGGACAGCGCTCGGGCCAATAAATTGCGACGCACTCCCAGCGGGGGGACAGAAATATAGCGCGAGAATTGTGGCTACGACCGCGGGGACGATATGGGGGGAGGGGAGGGGGCGGTTGGCGAAGCAGAAGAGAGGAACCGCGCGACGAGGGAACGAGGAGGCGGCGGATACCCGGAGAATACTCGTCGCGATCGCTCCGTATTTCGCGAACCTCAACGATATTAATATCATTCGTCGGGCGGGCCGGGCTCGAAGAATTTACGGCGCGAACGTTACGCCGGACGGGGATATCGTCGAATCGCGATATTATGTAACCAGGCGGAATAGAACGATACACATCGCTCATTGTGTGCGTTGACTTCACGCATGAGCGGTGCCAGTCGATCTCCGATGCGGATTTGCTCGGCCGCGATTCTAATTTTCGAGATAAACGCAACGGACGCGCGGACTATCGTTTCCGATGACCCACGGGCGAATAAAAATGCGTTTACGCAAAGATGTGGGCCAGCCGAAGCGAGTTCGCCCCGCGGTTTCGGCGGGGGGACGAGATTTTTCCGCACGGGGGAAAATAATGAAGCATCGTAGCGAAACCGCGTCGTTGATGCCGCACGTGCGCTGCGGCAGCGATAAAATTTTGCCGGCGTAGTCGAATTAACGAATTACTCGTAATCAGAATGTATAGTGGAAAAAATTTCTTTGTATTCAATTACATGTTTTAATTGGAACGGATTTGTCCTTTGGAATGGAGCGAACGAATTTTTCGATTATACGATAAATATCTCTTTACGTCAGATAACGTATTTTTTTATCCAAACATTACAATAGTTATTACAGGTGATAAATAATTTGAAAGAAACAGCATTGTGTTGGGAAAATATTAAAAAAGTTTGTCTCTTTGTCTCGATGGTTTGAATATTTAATATATAATGAAATAAATTTTCTGCATTGAAAACTAAATATTACGCATACGCACATGCATATTTTCTCTAGATAATATTATTTTTTCTGTCAAATAACACGGTTTACTCTAGACTGAGAACATTTTCATTCAAACAAAATGGTATTTGACATTGATATCACGTTATTTATATTAAATAAACCCAAGTCAAACAAATGCCTGCATTAAATGCAAAATATTTTTTTCTCCGTGTAGAAATAGTTTTGTTGCTAGGTTAGAAAATACTTTGCCGAGTGGATTTGTCCTCAAGACACGTTAATCCCCAGTTAGAATGAAATATCGGGTGGTTGAACAAGTTTCCGCCGTTTTTTTCTTTTTCTGAAATAAAAGACCTGTGTTTCATGAGAAGCAGAAAGAATAGTTTATTCAAAGTAGTGCCCATCGTTAGCTATAACTTTTTCCCACTTTTCACGTAATAAGCGGATTCCGCGATGGAGGAACTCCGGTTCTTTTGAGGCGATCCAGTGCTTAAGCCAATTTTTCTTATCTTCGTACGAAGTGAAGAACTGCTCAGTAAGGCCACGCTACATGGACCGAAACAGATAATAATCCGAAGGAGCCAAGTCTGACGGACACGGCGGGTGAGGTAACACATCCCCGCCGAGTGCTTCCAACGTATCCTTGACTGGTATCCTTGAACTTGACTTCGCAACATGTGGTCAAACATTGTCGTGTAGCGAAATCACTTTGCCATGTCTTTTGGCACATTCTGGACATTCGTCTTTCAAAGCTCGATTCAAATTCATTAAATTGTTCTCGGTAACTATTCACTGTTGATGGTCCGACACGCTTGCAGCAATTCATAATACACCCCGCCTTTTTGATCCCAAATACACAACGTAACTTTCCGTCCATGAATATTCCGCTTTGGCGTTGATGATGATAGCTGGCCGGGCTTGCTTCATGCCTTTGGTCGTTTCGGATTCTCGTAGTGGGTCTATTCTTCATCCCCGGTAACGATTCGATGGAAAAATGACTTCCTGTTCTGTCTTTGAAACAATAATTAGCACATGGTTAAACGCCTTTTAAGGTCTCTTTCTTTCAATTCATGTGGCAACCAGTTTCCGAGTTTTCGAATCATTCCTATTGCTTGTAAATGTTTATTAACAGTCGATTAATCAATATTTAATGCCTCTGACGATTCTTCCGATGCTTTAATGCTTTCTTAAATTTCTTAACTTCTCACAGCAAATAATCTCAGGAGAATAATCCAGCGAATGGCAATTAGTATTCTTGGTAAAACGTTTTACCGTCCATACAGTAACTCGTGGATTTTATTGCGACAACATATAATTTATTGTACCGGCAAATTACTTTTCTCCGCGTGTAAAAATGATTTTACGCGAATAATAAAATGACTGAAAAAGTCAGGATCTCATTCGACCGACATGGCGAGCTTAACAGCCGAAAGACTTCGCAAGTTCTCTTCTATCGCGACGTCCGAAGTGAATCGTTTCATCTAGGATGGAAACGCCTCGCTTCTTGAAATAGTTTTGTTTATGCCGCGTGCACTGTCCTACATTTCCGCCGAGTTTCACATTTCCTTGAATTTTCGGGTTGTCAAACTTTCCTTATTCTTTCCTTTCCCAGTTTAGATAACTTCGGAAGAGCCCCGAGATATACACAGGTACGACCGTCGCGTGCCTTCCTTCCGGAAAACGCCTAAACGCGGGCGTTTCCTTACCGTCGCTGTTAACCGTTCTTACTCTCAGCATCCCCGACGTCACAGGGGGTAATATAGAAAGAATGATCGGGATATCCGCGTCCCGACCGGCGGTCAAAAACACAGTGAAGTTACGGTAATAGCATCGGCGATATCGTTTCCTCCAAGCGCGGGGTCGTTGGAAGCTTTAAGGATGTCCCGAGGGATCGGCGGTCCGGCAGCTCTCTTTCGGAACGATACGCCCGTCCGTGATATAGCATATGAGCGTGTCGATGCCACAAGCATGGAGCAAACCACGGCAAAATTAATTGTGTGATTTATACGCTGCCACCGGCAACATATAATTAATCCCTGTTGCGAGAGGTATTGTTTGTCGCGGACGAGCGAGCGCGCGAGGACGTCAAAGCGGGCGAGTAAGTGCGATCGATTCGCAATAAATGGCACTTGCCGCCCACCCCGTATATACCGCTCGGTCAATTCTGCGGTCGATGCTAAATTAACTCAAAATTCAGTAGGCGTACCCGCGCTTCCCACCATCGCCGGTCGTTTTACAGGACGAAATAATATGTAATTCATCCGTTCCGCGCGCGCACCGCTCTCTTCCCCCGCGCCCAGTCCGGCCCGTCGGTCCACCACGCACCGCTCGCTACCCTGAAAAGAGGGGCTATTAATCTTGATCTTTTTAACGGCACAGTTTCTCACCGCGACGAAATCACAAAGAACGTCATCTTCGGAGTTGCGTTATCGGCGAAACGATGAAATATCGCGAACAATATCGCGCGGGAGTGACTTGTGTAATTATGTAATTTATCTTCCGAGATATCTAGACAATTGAATGCGCGCCGCCGGAGATATTGCGCGATATTGTCTCGCAAAATTGCCGGTATTTATTCTCGACTTGATAATCATGTCGAAGGCATGACTCTATTTATTTAACAAACTCTTGAATGGAGACATACCGCTCTCGTAAACAACGAGGCCGTCGCACTGATGAGATTCGTGATTTTCGGCGCCAAACGTATTTTACGGTCGAAATGTTCGAGTCTAAAAGCTCCGATGGAAGGTTAATCTTCAATATCGGGCTGTAAAGAGCATGGATGTTTTCTAGCACACATTTAATATTAATAATGTTAAATTATTATTATGGTTGTGGAAGGGTAATGCACGATGAACAAAAATTTATCCCCCGATAACCGTATTAATAATTTGACATTATCTATATTAAATGGCACTGAAACATCCGTGCTGTGCTTCTTACGACTCGATTGACAATATTTTATAGTAATAGCGACATGTACATGTAAGATTATTATCACTGACATTATAACAATACTTACTGGAAAAATGGACTATTTTTGTGGTTAAAATAAAAAATGAGAACATTTGGCGCCGAAAGTAAGTATAATTTTTTATCGACGCGCGCATCGTTTTCATCTATGCGAGCGTAATTCCATTAGCGATACCGAAAGAAAGGGGAGCTGCGGATGCCGAGAGAGCAGTAACGGGTAAGGAAGAGTAACGTAGTTTATAAATCACGTATAAATAATGCAACTGTCAAATGGACGGATCGAATCGCACAGATAACGGGAACAACAGTGCGTTACTTGTTGCACATGATGCTACGGTTCGATATAATTTCACGGTATATTATATAACATATGCATGTTTATGATAACATCTTGCATAATACAGAGCCTAAGTAGCACAAACATTGTAATTACCGGCGGATTTTGTCGATTAGTGCGTGCTGCATCGCGAATGCGTATGCGCATATCGCAGTTGGCGCATATATATATATATATATATATATATATATACACACACACACACACACATTTATCCCTGTCACTGAGAGTAATACCCCCTAATTACGTTTCAGACAAATCGGAGCGACGCGCATCGAGTGGTCCTGAAGGATATACAACCCAATCATACCGGCAAATATCGCTGCGAGGTCTCCGGAGATGCTCCCACATTCAGTACTATAATGGTTGCAGCTTACATGCACGTAGCTAGTGAGTATCTCCAGAAGCGTATTTTACATCCGAGCAAAGATAACACGACGCGCGCGCGCGCCGTGAGAGAACTGAGCGCGGCTCTCTCGGGCGAGCGGCTCAACGCGTAGCAGAATAAACACGGGCTCCCTATGAATCCCGATACCCAAATACGCCGTCGAAAAGACAGGGTGGAACGGTGACGTTCGCGGGAAAAATAAAAACCGTAATTTCGCGCGATGGGGTTATCGCACGCGCGATAATCGATCGCGGGCAGTGGAGGGGTCGGACTTTCGGTGGAACGATACTCGGCGGCGTTTTGCTGGAGAAAATAGCACTGCCATCTCAGCGGAATAAAGTGCGTCGGAAAAAATGTCAAGAGAGAGGTGCGCGCGGCCGTGACTGTTGAACGCCGCTGAGATCCGTCGAAAATTGTAGGTAAAAGCCTGGACGTAGAGAACGGCTTTTTAATTTCTTCACTTGATGTTTTTGCAATCTACGCGCGGGTTAACGTGCGCGTCTCGTGATATCGAATTTTCATTTGGCGCCGCGCAGCAAAGCGAATTAAACTCGAGCACACTTCTCGCACTCGTGTATACTTTGCGTGATATTTCCTTTTTTTCTTTTCCGACGAGTTTCTCGCGTTTCCCCCGGTGCGTTCGTGCAAACGAAAAGGAGCCGCCTCTTTCGAGTAACGAATAATTTCCGGGGCGAGTAAGTAAAGGTGAAGTGAAATGTCGACGTTTTCTTTTTACTTCGCGCCAGACCCAATTATCCGAGTCGAAATTTTGCTTCTACATTAATTCCCCAAGTTCCGCCGAATCTAGTCTTGTTATTGTGACGAAATCGAATTTAAATTCTTATCGCGGTGCGCAACGTTATTCGACATCATTGCTATCTTCGTTTGCCCTAACAACTCTTTCCTTTCCAGCTCTTTTGAAACTCCAAGTCCTATGGACATTTTCAACACCAATCAAAGGAACAATAGAACGATTATGAATTAAGAGAATTTATTCGTATTTATAGATAATATATTTCTTATATTTAACATGAGTTAATTAATTAAATTAACATAGGTTAATTTAATTTAGTTTATTATATTTAGTTCACGTTAAACACTCTGTTCATACATACTTATATTCACCATTTAATTTTTGCTTATCTTATATGTTCCGTTTGTATTAAGTGAAAGTTACGTAATTAATACATTGCTCATAGAAATTGGAAGCAACGATTAAATATAGAGGTAACCGAATATTTGATAATTCTTGAATAAGTCCTTTAATCCTCAATATGGAGGGGATAAGTAACCATTTGCAGCATTAAGATAGAACAGTATAGAACAGTGGCTTGTAATGTTACATTCCAAGATCCTCCCTAATGATCCTTTAATCCTTTGGGCCCCAATGGGATATATACGTCCCATCAAGTACTCCAAGATGTGCGATATAATTCATTTTACGTTGCATATTTTTGGTCTGTCTGAATATTTGCAACAACAACTTTCTCGCTTTCTATGTAAAACTGTGATTCTATACAATAAGAAGTCACAAATCGTCAATAAGTAGAAATTGTTCAAAATAGTTATCAAAAGAAAAAGAAACAAACCCGGTCCCGAAAGGTGAAATTCGCCGGAATTTATAGCGTTAGCTCGGAAATGAAAAAATTTCGAGCATAACGAGGCTCGCATGCCGAGTCAACATTTAACAGCTCGATTGCACGCCACGCGATTTACAACGCCACGGGGCCGATAATTGTCACATTGGCTTTTTCATGAATCTTATAAATTGTGGAATTTGCGAGATTTACGGGGCCGATAATGATCGGTAAGGTATCGGACGTCGTCGTAAATTTGTCGAACTCACGGGACTCGAGTGACACCCGCGGAGAAGAACGGCTTCCTATTTTATAAAGTCACGGAACCTATAAAATATACACGGTCGCCTGCCAGCGGCTCTCAGCCGGGGCGATGCGGGAAATTACACGTTAACGTTACAGGTAACTCCTCTGCTGGAGCGGTCGCTTATCCCCGCCGCGCGAGCACGGCGACAAAAAGCCCCGGCGTCATTAGCCTTGATAACAGCGCGCAATAAACCTGTCCGCGGGACAGAGCTCCGTCGATCGGGCCGATGCTTATTGAATCCCGCGCCCATCCGCCGTACGATGCAGGCCGCGGCCGAGAAAAAGCGTGAAAGCCGCCGCTAATTCCGCCATTTAGTGCCATCAAAGCGTTAAATGGATAATGTTAATTTATGAGCGCCGTTCCCCATCGGCTATCGCTGTTTAGGCCGGCCGCGCATGATCTTCTCGTATAATTCTCGCCGGTAACGTGGATAATTGCTGCGACCGATCCCGCCGGCGAGACCGTCGCTTTTTACCGGTGTCCTTCGCGCATAGCGACACCTATTTCGCGTCGCATTGTTAAAATTCAATAAAAAGCATCTCGCATTGTCCCATACGAGTGAGACCGCCGCGACGGCGGTGGTGGCGATGACGATGGGGTGGACACGCGAGGATCCGTGATGAATCGGATTCGGTCGTGACCCGTTAAGTTTTTTGCCGCCACGACTGTTCCTCGTGCGCTGCCAGGTACATGCTCTCTCTCTCTCTCTCTCCCTCTCTCTCTATCTCTTGCTCCTCTCCGGCATGTCTTTCGCGCGAGAGTGCCTTTCATTATCGTCGTTGATTATCCTACACGGCGACTAGTATTGTCACCGTAATCGCGCCCAATTAAAACGCAGTTAAGCGAAGGGAGAGAGTGAGAGAGAGAGGAGGGGGGGGGGAGGGGAGGGGAGAAAGGGACCGAGGCGAGGGCGGAAGGGAGACGCGATCCAGCGGTCGTGGAAAGGAAGGAGACGCGGAGGAGCGTCGGGGTCTCGTTCCCACCGTTCCTTACCGCCGTCGCCGTCGTCGTCGGCGTGCGTCGACCTAACGACGCCACAAGCACGGTAGCGATCCCTCCTTTGAAGGGACGAGGTGATTGCCTCCTCTTACCGATCACGGACTCCTCGTAAAAGCTCGATACTGGATCGGGCCCTCGCGAATCTACCCCTCTCCCCCTCCCTCTTTCTCTATGGCCCGTCTCGTTCGCTCCTTCTCCCCCGGTTCTCACGAGGCTGAGCGATCATGCCGTTCCACACGACACACGTTGAAAATGGTAATATCCCTCTCGGCCGTGTCCTTGAGACTCGGTCGCGCGGCGAGATCCCGCGAGGAAGGAGCGGCCCGAGGCGGAAGTCGAGTCCGGGGAAGGAAGTGAGAGACAATTCCTTGACAGCTCCTGCGTCGGACCGCCGGCGAGGGAGGCGGGAGGGAATCGACTGCCTTCTGTGGACGTTATAATGATCCCCCGAGATGTACTTGATACGTTATGTATATATATGTTGCGCGAGCGAGCGAACTTCGCTTAATGACGATGATGTTCGCGGAAACGTTCGAGAGACCGGGGCTCCCAGCTGACTTATCGCGTGCGAAACGCGGGAACGAGCGGCGGCTCGTATCGAAGCGGCCCCGATAAGGCCGATTTTGAATAAATCTATACGCGAGCGCGCGTTTTATATTTATGAAGGCGCGTATACGCGAGCGCGGCGAGCGAACCGCGCTCCGGGCCCTCTCGGGCTTTGTACGGAAACGTAACTTCTAATTTACGGCGGACGCTTCGCTCTTTCAATTCAATTTCCCGAGATGCGGAACGCGCCGGCGCGATATCCGCGCATAAACGGAAACCCCCGCGCCATTGTGTCGGGGATAAAAGTCGCGCGTTTTTGTCGTATCGCGCGCGCGCGCGTTGCGAAGCAATTAACAAAGGGCAGCGTTTCGAGCGCGTGTAAAATTATCAGAAGCGAAACGGTGCCCTCGTCAACGCGGAGACAAACGACGATTATTTCGCGCGGTGAGAGGAAGCGGTGATATTTATGGGACGCACGCGCACACACGCGCGTGATCGAGATGCGTTTCCGCCGGTGGTCCACGGGTGTCCACGAATCTGATCTGAAATTGTCGAGCTGAATCGACTGAATTCGAAATGAATCAGCGTGTATCGAGCGTACCGTATCGTATCGGCCGTGTTGAACATAACGCATTGCACGGCCGGGACGTAAAGACGTTCGCCACGCTAAAGTCGAGGTCGCTAAACGGCCGCAAAAAGCGCCGTTTCCGCGATTTCCGCGTGAAACGCCTTCCGACGTTGCGAACAATGATCCCGATCGCTATTGCGCGGTGCTTTCGCCTCTGTTTTTGCGATTATCGGCCGAAGGAACCGGACGTAACAATGGCTGTCCGTAACCGTGAAAACACGCCGCTATATGCGATTGTTACCACAAGGCGCTCTGAATTTGCAGGTCTGCCGAATGGCGATCCCGAGCTGCGGGTGGAGAAGACGCGCTACGCGGTCGGCGACACCGTACGTGGAAACTGCACGGTACCGTCGGGAAATCCTCCGGCCAACGTGACGTGGACTGTCAATGGGACACCGGTAGGTTGATGAATGCGAAAAGTGCACCCGGGGAATCCCCCTCGAGCGTTCTCGCTGATTCACGACGAGCCGCATAAATATTAATTCGCGTCTTGTTCCCGGGATACACGCCGGCCGTCGCGAAATTTTTGCAAGTCTCATCCGTCAAGCTCGAATTTCCGTAAACGGCCCCGAATACATCGGATCGTTCGTCCGGCCCGGAAGTAATTCAATCGGAATGTAAAATCCGATTTTTTGATAAACACCGAGGTTTCCCAACGAGAATCCTTCCTCCCGCGCAACGCGAGAATGACGAATAATTTTTGCGAGCGTGCTGACAATGTTAGTAATTACTTTTGCTCCTTCGAGTGGACGGTGTCGCGAAATGCGCGCATACGCAGAAGTCAGAGTTATCCTCGGCTTCAAATACAGCCTTTTTGTATTTTAATCACCAAAATGGTAGTGATGATGCGGATGTAAGATCATTATCACTCATACTGAAAATATAATTTCTATCTGTGTATTTTCTGAAAAAAATAGCGAAAATGTCACTGATTGAATCGTCGAAACAGTTGCACCGATAATCAATGAATATTCACTAACTTTTAGTGGAGACCTTCCTTTTTACTCAGCTCTTTTGTTGAATCCTTCATCGATTTTGGCTAGTGAACGATTCGTTGCAAATACATGCACATATATCGTGTGTGCACCTTTTCAAACACGACGAAAATTAAATCAATTAAACATAATAAAGAATATACAAAGCAAAATCACTGACAAATGCCTTAAGAGCGAGATTGAGATAATAAAGAAGAAGTAACAAATAATAGTAATAAATAATCTTTTTTAATTGTTTTTTCTGCAATTAAATCTCTTTGATGGAGACCAGTTGCTGCTGTTCACAGACTTTCGCAGCGAGATTTCACCGATTTGCGATGCAGTACTTGTAATGAAAATCACCAGCGACTGCTGACTGCTTCTCAGTGATAATACGCCGACTGCACTTTCGAGAGTACGAAAGGATCGCGCGAGTCTCGAATTCATTGGAAACGCAAAATAATGCCTGATAAAATCTAATCACACGGGTAATATAATACATAAACTCCGTCGCGCGCTCGCATCGAGAGGGGCCTCGAGGCGAGGAAGGCCGCTTTACGTTTATTAACTCCATCATATAGGCCATTCAGCTGAACGCCACGGTTGACAATAGCGGATTTTCAAGTATGCCATTACTTTGTCCACTTGATACAACGTTTCGCGCCGCGGGTCTTTTGTTTCTTTCTGCGCTTGTCATCGCCACTGATGACAGCGCGCCGTGTCGGTTTGTAAAGTTCTTCACGTCCGACTTCAACTCGCTTGTTCCATTCGGGCGATGCGTTTACAAACGCCGCTCTAACGTGGAACATTCTTAATAGCCGTCACCGTATTTTTCAGCACCCCGGCTTGTAAAAATCTCTCCCGTCGAAGTCGCTTTGTCGTTGCCCGTTGAACGCATTGTCGGCGACGTTTCTCCAGGTGGCTCGAGTTTCCCCATTGGAGCCTCGGCGGCTTCGTATCGTGTTTTACAGCCGGAACGCAATATCGCGTAATAACGAGGAGGAAGAAATTAAAATTCTCCCCGCTGTTGCAGGACGCGACGGTGACGTACAATTGTCACGAGAACTCGCTGTGCCGCGCTGTCCGCACCCGGCTGTGCGTGAATTACTTTCCCAATTAAAATATTTCACCGTCGTTGCGCGCCCATGAGATTTTTTTAACTACCCGAGCGCACGCTCGCCGACGCGATGAGATAATCGCGGGGCGAATTTGCATTTTCGCTGCGCCCGAGAAAAACACAAATCCCGTCTCTCCCCCTCGCTTATCGCGGCGAAGGGAAGATGCGCGTGTTCGGCCGCTCGATTAACCTCATTAATTATCGCGGAGCAAGCTAACCGAGGTGATTCTCTTTTCGCGGCTGTGATTATCCCGCGATATTCGCCGATCGCTTACACAACAGAGCGCTGAGAGACTACGCGATTTCGCGCCTCTAACTTCATCATTCCCGTCGCGATCGCTGCCTGAAACGTTCGACTTTGCCTCCGGTTCGCCGGCAGCACAGAAGCTTCTACTTTAAGTAACGCGAACGGTTTCTCAGCGTGAGGATTCGCGATCGCTACGAGCGCGAGTCGATACATGCAACGTATAAATTATAACGCCATTAAAACGTAATTACAACTTTTCCAAACGCGAAACGTGTGTGCGTGTATGCTCGCGATCGTTCACCGACCGCTCAAGTAGAGAGAGAGAGAGAGAAAGAGAGAGGGAGAGGGAGAGAGAGGGAACTTAACACTCTTGCCTTTTTTTGCGCTTCGCGTGCGTATAAATATTTAATCGGTCTCGGTAAGCAACGAGAGTATCCTGCCGGCCCATTAAACGAAATTGCTCATACGTGATCGACCGCATTAAGCGCAGGACGAAACGTCGCGCTCGATCGTCCGCCGACGAGAGAAGGGGACTTGTCAGCCCAGAGGCTCGACGAGCCACGACGAGCACGTGTTCCCGGTGTGGGTTCCCGCGTTAGCCGCACGAGATGCGTGGAAATTGAGTCGCGTTCCTATCACGGAAGCGGCAGGAAATGCGACATCGGTCAATCCCCGCGACGCGGACGACGCCGTGGAGGAGGGTTTGGGAAAATCGGCGAAATCGCGCGAACCCGTTACCGCGCGGATACACGCGGTGCGCGGCAATTCAGGAAATTATAAAGATCCTCCTCTCCCGCTGGTCGGCGGCGCGCGAACGGCCGTCGTTTTAATCCGGAACTCTCACTCGGCGAGCCGGTAATCTGCCTCGCTTTTATGAGCGTCCTAAGAATCCGATAAACATCATACTTACAGCCGAACGCGCCGCGAATCACTCACGGCTCCCGCAGGAGGCGTTGCCGCCGCGAACGAGCGGCAGGAAGCAGTAAGGATGTTACCCGGCGTTGCTACCCTCGTCCCTCGTCGCGCTCCACCCTGTCCTTCCGCGTCGACAGGGTCGAGGGACTCTCTCTTTCTCTCCCTCCTTCTCCCTTCCCCTCCTCCCCTTTCTCTCTCTCTCTCTCTCTCTCTCGGTCCATCCACCTATGTCTACCCGGTTAATTAATTCTTTACGCGACCACTCGTCCTAACGAGCTATCGGCAAAACTGCGTCCGCGTTTCGGAAATTGAAACAGGATCGTGCGACCATTAGACGATTAGGTTCTGTAACGAGAAAACTGGAGGACTTCCGCGAACGGTCCTCCTAGGAATAAATTATTAATTCACTCGCGCAAGAAGCGCAGGGCAGCAAGAGAGAGAGAGAGAGAGAGAGGGAGGGGGTTGGAGTTAGAAAGAGAGATGATTGCACGACGGCTATGTCGTAAAGCGAAGTGGGTTTCGACGTATATCACTTGGAAGTTAATTGATTTTAGAGACTCGTAAATCATCGCGTCCGTTTCCGCGGCCATCGGCGGGCTGGGTCGCGCGCGGATCACCGCCGCGTTTCATTGATCATCGAGGAACAAGTGGCGACCGACAGCTACGCGGCCCTCTTTGTACGCGAAATATCTCTCGCGTTCGCGAGCGAAACGTCCGAGTTTCGCGTGTTTCTGGAATGGAAATTGAAGGAGAATGAGCTGAGGAGTCGGAGAATTGAGATAGATAGACAGAGGACCGATCCTCGGGGCGCCGACAGTTTGTACACGCTTCCTCGTCGCAGGTGAACTCGAGCTTCATCATGAACATCACGGACAAAGTCGGCGACAACCAGCAGCAGATGACGGTCGCGGGATTGGACTTCGAGACTATGCAGGATAACTTCAACAACGGCAGGCTGCACATCGTTTGTCACGCCAACGTCTTTCATCTGTACCAGAAAAAGGCCGCCGTACTCCTGATCGAGGAACGTCCGAAGCTGGCCTCTGTGTTAGGAACGCGAGAATCCTCCTACATCGGTAGCGTCGCTTTATCTCTCCTTTTCCTTTCATCGAGATCATATTTTCCCGATAGTTCGATTTTCCCCGGGAATAATAGGTCCGTACTTTTCTCCTCTTCCTTCCATCGAGGCAATCTTCGAGCGCTCACGCGCGCTGCAAGCGTTGTTCTATATTTATTGTTTATTACACGCCAAAAGAAAATAGAATGAAGCTTACGTGAGTGTCCAAAGAGAACGCAGCCTGAGTGCTTTGCATCTTTCTCATCTTCAGTTCCATAAATGTACTGATTCAGCGAAAGGAAAGAACAGACCTAATTGCGCGTGCATGCGAGAAACATATCACAGACACACATACGTACCGGCGCGTCGTGCGTTACATGTAATAATAAATCTTTCTCATTCAAATCACACGCAAACGCGCGTCTCGATCCTTCAGTTTGCTAACGAACAATATATCCTTTTGTCACAGGTAACGCAGCAAAGCACACCGCCGAGTGTTTCTACATCACCGCTATAACTACACTGCTGCTGAACAGCCTGAGATAACATCGATGAATCCCCAATGCGTTTTACGTGCACGATTGTATCGAGACGGAGCTGGAGTAAATCGTTTGTAAAATTTTGAAATTATTAAATGGGATGAGAAGGAAGAAAGAAGAACAGACAGGAGAACACCCGGGCAAGAGAGGGGAGGAAAATCTTTCGTTGAAATAAATACCGAGCGTATGTTATTCGTGTAAATAGGATAAAAGAAAAGAAAAAAGAAACACACACACACACACACACAGAATTTAGCGACTTATCTACGTGTATGAGATCTTCGTCCGCCGACGTGGACGAACTTGTAATCCGAATAACGTGTCGTATTATTATGTAATAGACCGACTAAGTGTCGCGCCAAACTGCCGAGACGTCTTATTTGACGACAGATCGTTGTGACCGTCTTTTTCTATCCTCCGACGATGATTTTTTGATACCTCCTCTGTGACACCTGTAGTTGACGCAAGCATGTTCCGTCATTATTACAGGTGAACACTGTTATCGTTTATAAACGACATTTTATTTCGATGATATACGAATAAAGGAATCGCCTTCGTTACTTCCGATCTTCAGTACACTGAAAGCCCCCGTATGTCTCCTTTCAGCGTTTCCTCGGAATCATTTTCATCGGAAAACGTTAGGTAATTAGCGCAAATTAACAGATAGTTTGTTAGCGAGTAACCTTACTGTCTCGACCTTACGTAAGAGCGAACGTTAGTTGTAAGACGAACGTTTAGTGAGGCGTACGTTCTTAATTGATTAACGAACGCATGTATTTCTGTACAAAAGAAAAGAAGCCACTGTATTGATTTATTAAATAGACGAAATCGAATAAATGAGATACGACAGGGTGATATCACAAAATGTGTACGCTTTGATTACACTAAATCAAACCATCTTATTGCTATTACAATGAACCAATTGTGTCCATATATATATTTCTCAGAATTGAGTTTAAGGGGAATCTTGCGGGTGACGCGCGAACGCGCAGCAGCAGCACACGAAACATATGTATTCGTTGCGGAAGGTATTCAAAATAAAATTATCCATTCGGAATCTAACACTTCACGCACGCTCTGCAGTCTCCTTCTGCATTTGACAATGAATTTTCATCTCTATCACGTCCACCGTCGTTTCCCTCATCTTGCTCTTCTCGAGTCCGAGCTGCTGAATCTTTTCCATTTGCTCTGTGACGTACTCCACCCTCCTCTTGAAATAGTCCTTCGCGTCCTCGATACCCTTCTCTGCATAGTAACCGGTACCGATGTCCACCAATACATTATTCGCATCCGCCAGTTTTCCGGTCACGAACATCGAACTTGTCAAAGGTACTAATATTTCGTTGCCTGAAAACACGTAGAAATCACACACTCCTGTATCATCATCGATACGTCCAAGATGATTTTCCTATTTCATCCATACCAAAACTGCGTAAAATCGTGCTACTAATTAAGAGAATAATGCTTAAAGCTTCTGAAAAATTCTAAAATTCTCTCATTAACACATTTTGTATGGTTTTTTGTTTCGCCGGAGTATCATGTTTCCTAACCTTAAAGCGGATACCCATCCACGAGACATCGGAGAGCGAAATGAACTCCGAGTAGTGGGATTTCGATGACTCACCTTCAACGTCAGGTGTGATTTTCTCGAGACAAGCGCCCGACTCTTGAAATCTGCTCTGTGCAATCTTTAGAGTGTGCAAAGAGTCCTGAAACAACCCAAGCTCCTGATCCAATTGCTGTTTCAGCATCGTCAGTTGCTGGAGATTCAAGCTCGCTAGGTCGACCTTTTGCAGCTGCGGCCCCGGCTTCATGGAGATTTGCGACATCTTGGTGGGATATGAATTATTATTCTTGAAAATATTACTTTTGTCTTGACGACTCAACGAGATCGCCGATATCACCAAACACGGTTAGAGCGAGGAACACCATACACTGAGCTAAGCTACAATGTACGTACAACCAATAGCGGCACTCCGTGCATAATATAATAGTAGGTCTGTTCGTATTCGCTGCACCGCTGAACTAGTGCAATAAGTTGATGCGAGACGAGTATATGTTTTCTCACTTCAACTTACTGCACTAATTCAGCGGTGCAGCGAAAACGAACAGACCTAGTACTATACAGCCAAGGTGAGAGAGAAGTTCCGTCTCGCAACTAGGGTGCGGGAATATGTATTTTCCTCTCTTTCTGAATGTATTGTGAACGTAATACGCATGCGTCGGATTGGCGTCTCCGCCAATAGAAAAAGAAAATATATTTTATCCTGTGTGTGTGTGTGTATATGTCATCACTGATCGCTACGCACTACACATCGTCTATCCTTTACTTCTGAGACGGCTTTCTCTTAAGCCGGTATTACACTACGGATTGGGGATTGAATTCAATTTAGCCAATTTAGCCAATCAGAAGTTAACTAAACTTAAGTTTAGTGAAATTTAGTGAATTTTATACTGATTGGGCGCTTACGCGCTGTAATTTTAATGCAATCTCAATCTTCTAGTCCATAGTCTGATATGGGCTTTATAGGCAGCATAGGGCGACTGGCTATATAGTATTATTAAGCCAGTGGCACACGATGATTGTTTACGTGCTGGATTGTTTGTTGGATGGAAATACCACGTTCTGATTGGTACATTTCTGAAAATGAATGACGATACACCAATCAGAACGCAGTATTCCCAGCCAACAAGCAATCCAACACGAAAACAAGCATCGTGTGCAGCTGGCTTCACATATATGACTTCGTGTAAATTTCTTTGATAGGTTGTGTTCAGGAATTCCACTCGTGGTGTATTTTCGTGATTTCGGTGAGAAAATAGTGGGAACACTGTGTACGATAGATATAAGCGATGCAGTATCGATATATAGAAAAATAAGGTTTTCCCCCAGGAAAATAAGGTTTTTCTACACAAATTGCGGGGGAAAACATTATTTCTCTAGGAGAAATCCTTATTTCTCTATGTATCGATACTGTATCGTCCAACTTCTGTGTATTCCTGTGTCAAGAATTTCCGAACACTAAAGTGTGATTTCTAAGTAACGATGATAGGCTAATACTGTGTTCGACAGAGTTGGGCGATACAGCATTGATACTGTAACGTCCGGACTTATTTTGGAACATTAATAATATATTAGTATAGATCACTAGGTTAGATATTCACTAGGTATAGATATTTTATCCCTATGTTACTAGATGCAAGTACGTGCGCATATGTATATTCGCGCACGTTAAATATTATAATTAAAATTATAACGCCGAATACTGCGTGTCGTTAGAGAGTCTTAAAATCGATGGATCAACTATAAACAAGAGAAACCGTAATCGCTCAATGCGATAAGGCGTCCCGCTGCTAACATAAACAGGAGCATGAAAACTGAATCCAAATACTGCAACCGGAGGTACTGCCGACTAGGGAAGCACGGCTGACTGGAAGAAGAGGCAGACCGCGCAAAACACAAGAATAAAAACCGAAACAAAATTAAGAACCCTTTATTTTTGTAAGAACAGTTTTATTTTTGTAGTATGACAGTTATGTTTACAAAAGTTTAATTTTACCAGGTGTAGAAGTACGTCTATGCCGTAAGAGCGCTTCTGCAGCGCCATCATTTCCTTCTAACAGCTGACGAAGATTTTAAACAGACAACAACCCAAGTTCCATACACCGGTATATTTTTCTATAACCTTAAACATGTCGAGTTTTGTGCCTACGAACTACGATTTGCGGACAGCATTGATTTTTTGTCATCATTTGAAGAAAATTGCTGCAGAATCGCATCGAATGTTTGTCGAAGCTTACGGTGAACATGCTCTTGGTAAAACACAGTCTTTCGAGTGGTTAAAAAAATTCAAAAGTAGTGATTTTGACGTGAGAAACGAAGAGCGTGGGGAACCACCGAAAAAGTTCGCAGACAACGAATTGCAAGCCTCATTGGATGAAGATGATACTCAAACTCAACAAGAACTCGCGGATGAATTGAATGTGACGCAGAAAGCTGTCTCAATTCGTTTGAAAGCCATGGGAAAGATTCAGAAAGCGGGAAAATGGGTTCCGCATGAATGAAAGACAGTAAGAAAATTGAAAAACCACTTGTGAAATGCTGCTCGACAGATACAAAAGAAAGTCCATCGTATCATGACAGGTGATGAAAAATGGATATATTTTGAGAATCCTAAGCGTCAGAAATCATGGGTGAATCNAGCAAAACGGGTCAGGGAAACGATCGAGGCGTTCAGTTGGGAAATACTAACGCATGCGGCTTATTCTCCAGACTTGGCTCCGTCCGATTATCATCTATTCGCATCAATGGGACACGCTCTCGCTGAACAACGCTTCAATTCGTATGAAAATGTACGAAAATGGCCCGATAGCTGGTTCGCTTCAAAAGAAGAAATGTTTTTTTGGCGTGGCATTCATAAACTGCAGGAGAGGTGGGAAAAGTGTATAAATAGCAATGGACATTATTTTGACTAAAATATTTTTTATCATTTTCAAACAACAGACGTGTAATTTTTACCAAAAAAATCCGGTTCAAACTTCTACACCTGGTATAAGAAGTGTTTTGGCGACTGGATTCTTCGTTGGAATAAGTGTATCGCATCAAATGGGGCCAATTTTGAAGGCGACATAATAAATTTGGATGATTAAACCAATATTTTGTGTTTTATTGAACAATTTCCGGGATTTACTTGACGGAATGTATTACTTCTTCTTAATCTTATTCTGTTCAATATCATGCTTCATGATTATTTTCTATTTGTCGCGATAACTAATCAATGTTCTGCTTTTTTTTGAGAACTAGAATTTTATTACGATATGAAAAAAAAACGATTATTTAAAATCGCCGAGTAGAACCGAATAGTAAATCGAAAAGAACTGCAAAACTGAAAAGAATGCAATGGTACCGATTTTGGTTCCGGCTCCGTAGGCTTTATAAAGTTTCGGTGTTGTTATGGTTGCGGTCCGACAAAAATATCGGTTTATATACGGTTTCCGCTTCCGGTCCGAACCGTGCACCTGACTGTAACATATCATTTTATCAAGGATTTTAATAATCGCAGATTATTTAATTCTACGCTCGCTGTAATCTGCATTGACTCTGTCCAAGTTTTCGATCAGGTATGCAGCTAATTCTCTTTAATTCCATTTTCATAATCGCGTTCTGTGCGTGCAGTAAAAAAATTGCAATTTTTATCGCAATCTGAACAATGCACTTAAGTGTGCAACTGTTAAACGAAACATTTCTGACGAGCTAATCATACATTTTAACGAATGCTTATTTTGAGAGAGTGAAATATATTATTATCCGAATATCTTCGGAAATCTAAAAACTCGGATAGTATTTCCAAAAACTTTTTTATACCTAAATATTCCGACGATATCCCGGAACGTCCCATGGGGTAGCCCATTACTAGTCGGATATCCTTCAATTTTATTTTGTAAGCTATTATAGAAGAACGCAATTTGTATATATAAGGTTATGATAAAGATTAATGTCACCACATAATATAAAAATATCACATAATTGAAGTTACTTCGTAATCAAGATAGAAATTGCAATGCAACTTTCTAGTATCATCTATTTGCAGGAGGAGTCCTATTGCCTCGTATTCGAGGCGTGGTGACTTCTCTCATATGCCTGTAGTGCGCACGCTGATTATACATAGGCATATGGGCCCTACAGTTTAACGCCGGTTTAACGGGTTCCGAACGGCAGATTTTTAGAGAGGCATTCATGGCAAAGATACTCTCGATAGGTTGCCACTTCTTTTCGAGAGGAGACACGAGCGTAAATATTATTTTGGTTTTTACCGGGATCGGACTCGGGACCGCTAAGCAAAGTAGACCAGTGCGCTGTCTGCTAAAAAATATACCAATATTTGTGTGTAACGATGGGTATGGTACTAACGGCGACATTATACCTAGCAGCAGAAACGAGGCATGAGAGTTTATTTCTCTCTCCCTCTCTCTCATTCTCCTGCTGCTGTTCCCAAGACTAGGACAGAAGTCTCGGTTTAAGCTAAAAAGAAGCGCCATCAGTAATTCGCGGAATTGTTGGCTCCACGACTGAACATGCTCAGTGATGTCACGGAATGAATGAGCGTTTATATATGCACAAGAGGAGGAGAAACGCGAGCGAGTCAATGAGAAATAAGGACAACGGTTGATATAATTAGATTGACTTTTATTGATTTACTGATATAATTAGATAGACTTGTAGAAGAAAAACCTAAAAATAGTGGTATGGAAACATTTTTGTAGCAGAAAACCTATAAAGAATAATAGTCATGCAGATGATTTTGAGGAATATTATAAGAGCAGTATAAAAGGATTTCAATGAATTGTTANAAAAAGAATAGTACAAATAAGCGAAGGATGTATAAAATGTTGCGCAAAAAGTACATCACTGTTATAACTATCGATATTCTAACACCGATGCAATGTATCGTATACACGACACTTTACACACATTTCGCTAATTCGTTGTTTTTCCGTTCTTCGTTTAAATTGTTTATTGAAAACTTATTATGCTCTTGTAATATTCCTCAAAATTCTTTACATGGCTATTGATATTCATTTTACATGAATTATAAGTACAGT